GCACACACGCTATTAAGCACGCAGTAAACACTCAATGGATATTTGCTATTATTATCATCATGAGTTCAATTAAGACCTCGCTAGACCCTAATCTTTCTCTGATATTTCGAGGGAACCATGATCCTTTTTTCTGCGAGAATTAAAAAGACCTCCTTGGAGATGGAAATTGGATTAAAATAAAAGCTCTCAGAATGTAGGCTCTCAGACAGATCCAAAGTACAAGGCATATAAAGTAATAGCAGGGGAGGGGGGCGGTTCTTTAAGCCTTTCAACATATATTTAATAGAGAATTACACCCAACCGCAAAATTACAGAATAAAGAGATTCAAACATAGTCTCAGCACTGGCAATGTCACATCTCACTAGAGCAAATGCGCTGATTGTTAGGTAGGTAGGTGAGGGAAGGGGTAGGTAAGCAGAAAGAGCGAATGGTTTTCCTAAAAATAAAATAAAATAATGAAAATAAAAACAAAGTAAAAAACTCCTACTGCCAAGAAATATGTAGGCGCACTTGCCATACTATGATAAACTGGTCAGAAAAGTTTGAATTCATTTGTTTATTCCTTAGCCCATTCCTTCAGTTATTTAACATTTACTGCCCAATAATAAATAGTTCCAAGTTTTATTGTCTCATGGTAGTGTATGCAAACAACTGCAATACAGGCTGGAAAGAATTGAGTGTTGTAGAGGAACAATAAAAGAAAAGAGATGTTCACCGCAAATTTGCAGGCGAAGTGTTAAATCAGACAACTGTCCACATCTCTTTGCATCCCTCTAAGGCTAATTTCAGACTGTGTCATCAGTCACATGCCACAGTGTCAGCCTGTGAAAACCTTCCCTTGGCTGGTTGTGCTGTACATTGATGTTATTGCTTTGTTGTAAACCAAATGCATTTTATTTATGTGTTTTGTTTATCATTTCTCTCCCTCTACCAGAATGTAAGCTTCCTGCCTGCTTGACTTGGTTGCATTCTAAAACAGTACTGGCTCATAAGAGGCGTTCGATAAATACTTGCAGAACAGTAAGCCGAAAAAACACAACCTCTATTCAAGCGCTCAGCTTGATAGAATGGAATCCAGACGGCCTTTAAACATTCCCATTGATAGAGGATGCCATTGCAAGTCCCCCAAAAGGAAATCAGCACCCTCCTCACCTCTCCCTTCTCTGGGAAAAATCCCAACCTCCTCCATCTGTACATATGGGCCCCTGGAAACTGTGTTTCCTTTGTATGACGTTGCATTCTTGGTCTTAACCGATTGGACCAAAGCAGATATGTCACCTAAGCTGAGCCAATTCAATTCTCTTTTCTGGGACTTATTTTGCCTTTGTAAGAAGAGAGGGAGTTCAACAAAATGACCTCTGAACCCACTTACAGATCCCATGGCAAAGAGAGAGAGTATATGTAAAATTACAAAACTCATTTTAGAAAAGCTGGACATGATAGAAAAGCATAAAGAAAGAAATAAAAATCACCCATTTATGAGAGTTTGTAGTAATGAAAACTGGGAAACAGCCTAGATTCCCCCAAAGAAATAGATAAATAAACTACGGTACATCAATACTAGGTGCTACTTTCATGGAAAGATCTACAGAACATATGTTAAATAACTAAAACAAGGCACAGAACAAAATTTGCAATGTAGTACTATTTACATATATATATATATATATATATATATATATATATATATAACTATGTATTATACATAAAGGTATATAAGAATATAAACCATACTGGTAGTCATAATTTTCTCTGGAGAAGAGAGATATGAAGAGGAACTTCCGGTTTTCATGTGAAATATGTTTGTAGTATTTGAATGTAGTATGACAGTACCCTATTCTTATATTACCTTGTTTAAAGGACAAAACTTAAAATTATGAAAAGATACTCAGTAAGCAGAGTCAACTGAGACTGGAGACAAGGAAATCTTTTAGGAAGCTGTGCTTCTAAATTTGAATGTGAGGTGATGGGGCCTGAACTTGGGCAGAAGGAATGGTGAGAGGGGTGCCTGGGTGGCTCAGCGGGTTGAGTGTCTGACTCTCGGTTCTGGCTCAGGTCACGATCTCACAGTGCGTGAGTTCAAGCCCCATGTCCGGCTCTGCACTGACAGCGTGGAGGCTCCTTGGGATTCTCAGTCTCCCTCTCTCTCTGCCCCTCTCTCACGAGCTCTCTCTCTCTCAAAATAAATAAACTAACATTAAAAAAAAAAAGAAATGGTGAGAAAGAGATAAATCTGTGACAGATTTCAGGTGTAGAGTTGAGACTTCTGATTGGTTGAACATAGTGGGGTGGGGGAGGGAGAGTGTTTGGGGATGAGTGGCAATGAGTGGCAATATACTTTTTTTTTTTAACGTTTATTTTTGAGACAGAGAGAGACAGAGCATGAATGGGGGAGGGGCAGAGAGAGAGGGAGACACAGAATCTGAAACAAGCTCCAGGCTCTGAGCTGTCAGCACAGGGCCCGAAGCGGGGCTCGAATTCACGGACCGTGAGATCATGACCTGAGCCGAAGTCAGATGGATACTTAACCAACTGAGCCACCCAGGCACCCCATGCAATATACTTTCATGTAAAGAGCATGGGCTTTGGAATTCGGCCACCAAGGCCCAAAGCTCAACTCAGCCCTTTACCAACTTCAGGGACATTGGGTGACTTAGTTCACATCTCAGTGTCTCAGTTTGCCCCTTTGTAAACAGAGATGATGATACTATTTCCTAGCTCATAGGGCTTTTGTCAATCAGTTCATGTAAAGTGCTTAGAACCTTGTCATTGCTCGGTATATGTTGGCTATTATTAGAATGACTCCTGTTAGTATCATCACCACCATTATCGTCAACATTTTCTTCATGAGGGCCAATCCCAGGCCTTAGCTCAGGGGACTAGCTGGAAATAGGGGAAAATACAAAATGATTTAAAGCATTCTCCAAGAGTGAGAGTCAGAGAGGAATAAGGAAACCAAGAAGAGCTCACAAGCCTGATTACTGTGTCTTGCGAACAGGCTGCACTGGGAAGGGAAAGACATCATGCTGAATAAAACTGCCAGGAAAGTTAGATAAGAGATAGGTTTGAAGAAACTTATATGATTAGCTATATTTTAAAGCAGAGGACCACTGATTGAATCTCTTTTTCTTTTCTTTTCTTTTCTTTTTTTTTTTTTGCTTTATGTTTAAAATCTTAGATATGCAAAAAACTAGAGACATAGAAATACACATCATGTATATATTAGCATATTCTAATTGTAATGAATTAAAGCATGAAGCCAAAGCAAAACATGAACATGCATAGCCTCACTTCCTGCCCCTGACCCCTTTCTCTACGTTTACACATATACCCAACACTACAGTGAATACTTAACTTGAAGGACGTCATCAAAATACACTTTTATTATTGTCTTCCATTATCTCTTCAAAATTTATTTTTGAGGTGGAGTAATCTCTGGCCCTAGAAAGAAATTCTGGCAGACCCATGACTTTTCTGCTCACTCTTAGTTAAGAGATACTCCTCAGTTCAGAAATTAAAATGTCCATTCCAACACGTGAACCCAAACTCCAAGTCTAATTTGCAATCACATCTTCTCTGTCCCACATGGGGCCTCCTTCCTATCTTGCCCTTCTGCTTCTCATCCCTGACTAAAGGGAAGGTGGTTTCTGAGCCCTCCTGGGCAAAGGGGGAGTGAGAAGAGGGGAGAAATTAGTACATAAGAAACATCTTGAATTGTGCAGTACTCCAGACATTCTCTGGCCTGGTAGAGACCAGGTCTTCCACATGGGCCACTTTGTGGGACGCCCATGAGGTGCTAAGCTGTTCTCAGTCACCACCTACTTTCTGCCGCCCCTGACTCTTGCCGTGGGGCTTTCTCACCCTCAGGCAGAAGACCCCTGGAGCAGGACTTTGAATGGATCTATTATCTCTCTCTGTTATGGCCCACAGTTGGTACAAGGAAATCACTCCAACCCCCTTCCTCCATCCAGCAAAATCTGGGAATGTGTGTAGGTCCCAACATGGACACCTCCACTCTGCTGCCACAGGAAACTCAAACTTTTTCAGGCATGCTCAGGCACCGCTCTTTTGCGTCTCCCAACTACAGGCACCACATCTCAGGCTCCTGAGAATAGACCCAAGCTTCAGGGAAGGAGGTAACAACTTCCCTAAGCTACTCACATTGCTAAGTACACCTCTACCAGAAACAAAACAAAACCTCACCAATTCCTCTCCTTTACTCCATAATCCTTTTTTTTTTTCTTAATGTCTATTCACTTTTCAGAAAGAGAGTGTGAGCGGGGGAGGGGCAGAGAGAAAGAGGGGGACTGAGGATCAAAAGCAGGCTCTGCATTGACGGAGCCAGATGTGGGGCTCGCACTCATGAACCATGAGATCACCACCTGAGCTGAAGTCAGATGCTCAACTGACTGAGCCACTCAGGCGCAGGCGCCCCTCCTTTTAGATATGCTTTATCTGAGTCGGAGTAAAAGAGCCAGGGAATGTTTTGTAACCGTTGGCTGTGTATATTCTGCACCAATTGATCTGGCTTTGAAATTTACTGTCTATTATAGTTTAATGTTTCAACCCTGAAGCTCTCCCATCCCTCATTCTACTTTTCTCCCTTTAAGATCAATTTTCTGGATGATGGGAGATCTTTTAAGAACAGAAACGCACCTTTCTGTTTTCCTCTGTTCCCCACCAAGAGCTCCTCGCCAGGCACAATCCTTCAAAGGAGCCCGAGCTAATTTAATCATCATTGCCGCTTTTTGCACCGCCAAGCGTTAGAGGGCGCTAGAATCTCAGACTGTGATTGGCGCTCAATGAAGGCCGCTCCCGGCGCGCAGATCTTTACGTAAACGTTGGGGGCGGAGCCGCCCTGAGCGCGGTGACTGGCGGCGGCACTGGCGGCAGCTGGAGGCGTAATAGTGCGGGTCGCGGGCTTGAAGAAGTTAAGAGGCGGCGGTGGCGCCGGGGACGACGACGACAGTAGGAGCGGGCCCTGGGCTTGTCGCTCACCATGCCGACCGTAGAAGAGCTTTATCGCAACTATGGCATCCTAGCCGACGCTACGGAGCAAGTTGGCCAGGTAAGTCCCCGAGAGGCCTGCAGGGCCCGGCGCTCCGCGGCCTCTCGAAGGCGCTCCCCGGGCCGGGCGGGGGCTCCTGCTTCGCCCTCCCGCGGACTCCCAGCGGCGCCCGCTGTTTGGTCTCGATGGGCCCCAGTGGGAGTGTAGACGCCCGCTTCGCCGGGGAGAGCGCGGGTCCCCGTCCCAGGTTATTTCTCTGCCTCCCTTGACCAGCCTTTTCTCACCGTGGCGTTTCCTAACTCAGCCTCGCCAGCCCCCCGTTAATTGTCGTCCCGAGCCTTGCCCCGCATATTGCTTTAAGTCTTTCTTCTTTGCGGTGGACTTCAGCCCGTCGGAAGATTAAGATTGAGAGTTCTCGAGAGGTCAGAAATGTCTTTCTCGAAGCAAAACAAACAAACAAAAAACTTGCTATTAATTTAGGAAGAGTGTTTAGCGGACAGAAGTTTGTGAAAACAGAAGAGGGGCCCTTTTACCCAGATTTTAACAAGGACTTACGATTTCGTTTATTCAGTACATTTTTGAGCGCCAGGTGCTGTGCCGGGCGCTGGAGGTACAAGACAGAAAGTTACTGGTGCTCTCCGGAATGTATCTTTAGTGAGGGGGACTACCGATAAATAAGAAAGAAAGGTCTGCCACCACCACCCCCCCCCCCCCCCCCCCCCCCCACTGAAAAGTGTAGTACAGAAAATATAACAGAATCGTGCAGTGGCAGTGGGGAGGGGCGGGAAAGAGTGCAGCTTTAAATAGAGTTGTCTGGCAAGAGCTCTCCGCAGTGTTTGCCTCAAGACACACAGTTTCCGCAGTGTTGAATTTTTATGCAGGCTTCTTTGTGAGTTTTCAAGTACTGGAGTACATTGAACTTAAGGAGTTGGGGGTTGTGTGTGTGTTTTCTTAGGAAAAGAACCAGGCTCTCCCAGAAGTAATCTTGGTCATTGTCGTTAGAAATTCTATGCGTATCTTTTCAGTACTTAGAACTTAATGTTATTCATCTGCTTACCCATCCCATGGAGTAAGAAGTGGAAGATCCTGTATATAGTCTACTAACGTTATCAAGGCTGTGGCAGCCCCTCCCAACCCTTTTTTCTGGACATGTGTAATTCAGGTAAATCTTTTTAGAGCTAAACAACAATAAAGTTGTGCTGTCAGGACCTTAGTTAATCTTTATCTAGAATTGTAAATTTACCAGTTTGAAGTACTAGATCATTTTCTTTCGGTACATATTTCCATTTCAGTAGCAAATTTTGACATCATCAGTCAGTGAGAAATATACTAACAGTGTGTTGTAGACAAATATAGAGTGGGTGTTAGGTCAATACTGAGGGAGAAATTTTCTACTGGTTAAGACAAGATTAGGAAAACTATGATCAGTCATATTTTGATTTTGTTGTTCCTAGAAAGATGTGGTAATGAAGATACTCTCATTCATTGTGACGGAGTTGAGGGAGATTGTAGCAAATTGTTGTCCCAAAAACTGATTTTGTTGCAGATCAGCAGAGGAGATGAGGTAAAACCTACAACAGTGATTCTCAGTTTGTAGATGCTGCTCTCCCAAAGAGGTATATCAGGAATTTTTTAGGGAAACTTAGAAACTATATACACAGTCCAGTCCCGTTCCCCCAGCCTCATTCTTTGCTGGTAGCAAACAGTTGACCGCCATCTACTATGCTAGGGCAAACAGAAGTCAAACTGGAATTTATATATTCGCTGTGAATGATTGAGAGTTGCTCACATTTTTCTCTTAATGCCATCTTTAATCTCTTAAATATATGTACATATTTATTTATTTTGAGAGACAGCACATGGGGAGGTGGGGGCCAGGGGCAGAGAGATAGGATCCCAAGCAGGCTCTGTGCTCACAGCACAGGCTTGATCACCTGACATGTGGCTTGATCCCAGGAACGGTGAGGTCATGACCTGAACTGAAATCAAGAGTCAGACCCTTAACCAACTGAGCCACCCAGGCGCCCCTAATGTCATCTGTAGTTTTAAATACCAGGTAAGATTGAGAGTTCTCCCTCAAGAGGTCAAAAATGTCTTTCTCAAAGTAAAAATCTGCTTTTAATTTAGGAAGAGTGCTTAGGAGACAGAAGTTTGTGAAAAACAGAAGAGGGTTTTTTTTTTTTTTCATGCAGACTTTAATGAAGGCCCACAGTCTCATTTATTCAGTACATTTTTTCAGTGCCTACCATGTACCAAAAACACTGTGCCAGGTGCTAAAATTTTAGCAGGATTCCTTAGCACAGTGGGAGCTCAGTACCTTCATGACACTGTAGTGACAGCTGTCAGGCAGCTATTTGAGACGAAAAGCCCTGTGCATAATTAGGTGTAGGGATTTTCTCAGCCTCAAATAGTGAATTCTGGAAGGACTGAAGCTCGACTGAACCATAATGGCTACTAAGTCTGCTCTACTGTATAATAACTTCAACCTTTAGAGAAAATTCCTAAAACTTCTCACCAAAAAAGATAGTGGGTTTCATGACCCTGCATGTGAATTTTAACTAAAAGCAAGAGGCAACTTAATGGAAGGAACACCACTGACAGTTCTTTAAGGAGAGAAAGTCTTTACATTCTTAATGTAGCAAAGCCTGACTTTCATGTTAACTTAGGAGGTTTACAGTCAAGGGTTAAGGTATCCTGGCAGGTACCTATGTGGACATTTCTGAGACCATATATGAGTTTTTAGTCTAGAACTTCCTTCTAACATTTATGTTCAGTTTCATCCTTTGCCAAAGAGCTGAGAACCATAGTTGCTTTTGCTGCTGCCGCTGAGGGGAGTACCCTCTTCTCTACTGTCAGAGAGTAATGCTCTCTGAATACATCAGGAAAAACACAAGTCCTCTGAGGTTTTCAGCTAATTTTCTCCAAACAGATTATTCTCTTGATGAACCTCCTTGGCACTGTGTATTCATTTATAGTACTTCATATTTGTATTTTATTTCATGTGAGGGCTTTTCTTATTCCCTTATTAAATTATAAAGTCTTGAGGTTAAGGGTTAAATTGTCTTTATTTTTTTTTTTTCTCCTTGCACTGTACCTTCTACTTCAGTAGACATTTTTTCTTTAAAGTTGAAGAAATACATTAAAAGAGAGAACAGATCTAATTAATTGTATATAACTGTATAATTATATTAATAAAGTTAATAATTATACAACTAATATATGTCCTACAATCACATATAAATGTAATTATTGTTATGTGTGTATATATACATGAAACAAAAACCTGTTTACAAGGATTATCTCTTGGGAATGGAGGTGAGAACTGTATACACTCACACATCATATATGTGAACCATGAGCATGTGTTTTCTAATAAGCAAACTTCAAGTGAGAAATTCTAAGTGATGTATTATTTAACACCTGAAAACATTTCCCTCCTTTTTTGTACCTGCTATTCAGCTTCCCTTCCCCCCACTCTGCCTCTGCTGCTCCTTCAGGTCTCCTTGCTCTGCTGAGTGTTCCTCTACCTCCCTAACCCCCTTTCCACTGTGCTCTGGCCATAATAAAGTAAGGTGTTGTCCATTAGTATTTTACATTTGTTTCTAATTTTTCCGAATTTACTTAATTTTTAAATGTAGATATTTAGTTTTGTATTATGTAGTCAAAAACTTTTTTAAGTTAAAAAAAATACCAAATATCTGTGAAGGGACTGGGGCGGTTAGGCTGAGCTAATAAGATCAATATAATGCCTGAACCCTGATTTCTCCTTTGTTCTCTTAAACGGGAGTACACTGGCTCTACAGAGTGGAAAAACATAAGCTTGATTGACTTTTATTTCATGAAATACCACTCTTTTGGTGCCTTTTTCCCCTATGATTAAGCCAAAAAACACAGACCAAGTTCATACTCCTTCAAAAATCTGTAAAAAGTTGGGTGATGACAGATGGTGACTACACCTATTGTCATGAGCATTGAGTGATACGTAGAATTGTCGAATCACTGTGTTGTACATCTATCTGTCAACTATACTTCAATAAGAAAGTGTTAATTTTGTGTTACAAACTAGATTTATTCATTGAGGAAGAAGTAATAATATAGCTTTGCATATCCATTTTATTTTTATGTCATACTTGAGAAATATGTTTGTTGAAACTATAAACTTCTCTAAAATAATTCTTTCTTGCTTAGAAGCTGCATCCTGGTCCCAAACAAACATGGCTTTACCTGGCATGTAACTGATCACTTACATATATTGGTTGTGTTTTGACAATCACTATCACAGACTTTTTATTTTAGAAGGTATATGCTGAATGTGGGTCTACCTGTAGCCTTTTATTTTTACTTGAAAATATTGTAGTTTGCTTTTTTTTTTTTTTTTTAATTTTTTTTTCAACATTTATTTATTTTTGGGACAGAGAGAGAGCACGAACAGGGGAGGGGCAGAGAGAGAGGGAGACACAGAATCGGAAACAGGCTCCAGGCTCTGAGCCATCAGCCCAGAGCCCGACGCGGGGCTCGAACTCACGGACTGCGAGATCGTGACCTGGCTGAAGTCGGACGCTTAACCAACTGCGCCACCCAGGCGCCCCTAGTTTGCTTTGTTTTAATTGTATATTAAAGGCATACACAAATGGTTTTAGGAATGTGTTCAAACATTTACAATTAAAACTTGTTAGTATCACAGTTATCTAGCAGAACTATGCAGTTGTAGTGGAAGAGAAAAAATAAGCCATGGTGTGTAGTACTTGGAATACTTTATTATGGTTACAGTCCACCTGTCACTAAATCACTGCGATCACTGAGAACATCGCTTCTATTGTGTTTCCTACTTTGAAAACCAGAAGTAATAACTACTTTAGGGAGATTCTGTAAAAAGTCTTGTTCCTATGCTACAGTTAAAAGACAAAGAGCTGGCAGTAGAACATTTTATTTTGTATTACATAAAGGGTAATGAGTTTGAAGTCTATTAGTAACGTTTATAGAAATTATTTGATATGGGGCGCCTGGGTGGCTCAGTCGGTTAAGCGACCGCCTTCAGTTCAGGTCATGATCTCACAGTCCATGAGTTCGAGCCCCGCGTCGGGCTCTGTGCTGACAGCTCAGCCTGGAGCCTGCTTTGGATTCTGTGTTTCCCTCTCTCTCTGCCCCTGAGCCGAAGTCAGCTGCTTAACCAACTGAGCCACCCAGGTGCCCCGGTAGATTTGATTTCTAATTTGAATTTGTAAAAATATTTTAACTTTCCAAAGAACTTTCTCTGTTTGGGATGCTGCATCTCCATTAACATGCCTGTATGGAGCCTATATTTAGGACTCAAATTTTGCCTTTGATGGTCCTAAATCTGGCAAACTTTCTTTCTCTCTTGCTTTCTTGACTAAGATCTCAGAACTTAAAGAAGCTTCATATTAGGCACAGATCTTGACTTTAGAGCCTGTCAGAACTGTGTTCAAGTCTGGATCTGCTACTTGTCTAGCTATGAAGCTCTGGGCAAATTATTTCACTTTCTGAGCCTTGGTTTCCTCGTCTGAAAAATAGGCATAGTGGTAACCCACAGTACCCCACTCACGGGTTTACTGTGAGGCATGCACACAAGGCATTTCTCAGTACCTGGTAGGCTTTCAGTAAATGTCGCTAATGATTCCTTTTTATTCTATTCCAGATGCTTTTTTTCCTTGACAAAAGGATGGTTTGAAGTAAGGTTTCTTCATTTAATTTCAGACAATGTAAGGAGTTTCCTCAAAAGGCTTTAGAAGTAAAGCTTTGTTTGAGTTAAAGGAAATTGGACTGTGATACCCTGTAAAAAGTAAGGATGTCAGAACTGTTTAAAACTTTGATTTTATGAAGTCTGTCTAGAAGACATGAGGCAAACCACAGGAATGTGAATGGTAGAGAAGTTAGCCATAATTTTTCAAACCTTTGCAATAAAAAGTATGTAATATACTTTTGAAGTAGTAACTCCTGAAGACTGATTTCGTTCCTGCATTTTATGAGGAAACGAACCTAATTCAGAGAAATTTTTTTTATTTAGGAGTTGGTGTTATGTTTAAGATACTAAAATTTGTCAATCACTTGATGGAATTTTATGTTTTTTAGAACTAATTTTTAGAATTTATGTTTTTTAGAAAGGTGGCAATTTATGAACTTCTAAAGTTACCTAGTATTTTTTGTAGAATATATTAAAACCCGTACCTTTAAAAGATCTAATCGTGACCATAGCCTTTTGACATGAGAACACTTTTAAAAGTCCTTGGGATTCTACTGTACCTTAATAACTTTGTATTTTGCTTTATTTATTTTAACGTAGTATTGTCCATAAAAAAGAGTTACTATAGAACTAAAGTTTATTGGATATTTATTGGCTATTCTACTTTTGAAGGCATGAGGTATCTAAAGCACTTCGAGCATTGCTGTGAACAGAGTAAACACTATGCCATATACACATTAGGTGTCATTACTATAATGTTTACTGTTGTGCAGTAATTAGAAGTTTTACCCGTATGTCCAAACAGAAGATGTATCTAGAGTCTCAGTGTTTATTACTCTCATTTGCCAGTTTGTTCACTGTCATTTAATAAAAGAACTGGTTTGAAGGCAAGTGTGTCAGGGGGATTGGGAACTTGTTGACTCTTCAATGATGAGTATCTGAGGGAGAGCGCTTCTGAAGTTTTTTGGTTTTTTGTTTTTAATGAGGAAACAAATGAGCTTTGAATGTATTGTTGTAGTAAAAAGTTAAATATGTGACATTAGAATCTGTCTTAATCCAAAATTGACTATCTAGAATGAATTACTGTTTTCATATCATAAAAATATGAGGCTAGGGAAAAAAAAGCTTCCTAACCTTTCTGTTACTGCTTAATTTTCAAGATTGTATTCTCTCCCTATTCACCAAGGTGCTAATTGAAAACATAAGTATGATTATGTAAATGTAACACAATTCTTTGAGAATTCTACAATATTCATTATAGGTTTTAGCCATGATACAGTCACAAGATTGGGGTCAGTAATCACTAGAGTGAAGTTGATGCATCTACAGACTTACTTGCTTTTTCTATTTAAAATTCAAGTTGTCAGTCTCTCTTCCCCAACTGATGAATAATGCGTGGGGAGGTGGGGGGGCAGGGAAAAAGATGTTAGAAAAGTAGGTGTCCAATTTAAGCAGTAAAACTGCAAAAATAAGTCCCAATTTTTTAGCCTGAGTAAAATTTTAGTAATATAAAGCAGACTTGAACAAGTTTGTTTAGCTTCCCATCTTTAAAAAATTGTTTCTTCTGTTTTATTTTCTTTCAGCATAAAGATGCCTATCAAGTGATACTAGATGGTGTGAAAGGTGGTACAAAGGAAAAAAGATTAGCAGCTCAGTTTATTCCGAAATTCTTTAAGCATTTTCCAGAATTGGCTGATTCTGCTATCAATGCACAGTTGGACCTCTGTGAGGATGAAGACGTATCAGTAAGTGTATGATTGATGCTTTTCAGTGAGCTTTCAGATGTCTCACTTGCCGTTCTCAGACACTTTCTATGTGTAGCTAATGGAACAGTGTGTTTTGGTGTGATGCCATGCTGAGGCTTAAACCTACATGTGAGAAAATATTTTCTCTCTTTCACCAACTTTCAACTGTGAAAAATGCGTAGAATCACGAAATATTTTGTTTTGCTTATCGTTATCCACTGTAAAAATGGGTTGTGGCTCACATTTTTTCATAGATTGTTATACATTGTGCACATGAAATTAGACTAATGTTAGTTTTTAATCAATTTATACTTGCTTAGATATTTAAAATATTAAGTATTAGATCGTATAGTTTGAACACCCCTAAATCTGGTGCATAGCAGAAAAATAATTGGTCTGTGTAATAATTACATATGATTACTAGAATAAGAAAAAATAGTTTTTCCTTGGAACGGAATTATATTAGCATATCTGGCTGCTGATACAGATTCCTAAGAACTTTCAACTATTACCTCCTGGCTTTTCAGATGCAGTTAGTGAATCGCCAACATTCCATGCACAATTTGCTACATATAACTCCTCCATTTTTTTTAAACTATGCCCCCCCCCCCCCAAAATACAAATAAAACTTAAAGTAATAAACAAGCCAAGACCACATATTTGGAATTAAGTACGTAGTATATATTCACAAATGTTGTGTTAAGTAGTCAATAGGGAAATGTTAAAGTAAATAGAGGTACTGGATATGACTTTGCCTCTCCAGGGTACTGCAGTATATGCCCAAAGGTAGTAAAAATGCAACAGTTAACATGTAATCAGTGTATAAACTGTTGTTTATGATCTCAGATCTGTCTGCTCCAGTCAGTTAATTGTACTTAGCATCCCTTTTCACCACATTTTGTTTTAGTGATTCTGTGAAGCTCGAATATTAAATTGGAGCAAATTATTTCTAAAACTGCAAGAAGCCTCATGTTTTATATTTTGGTGACTCATGCCCCTAATTATGGTTTCTCTCCAGTTTTAGTTTTCTTTAAAGATTGGGGTTGTTGTTTTTATTGATGATAGTATTTGGTTAATTTTTTTGTTTGAAATCATATTCAGATTCGACGGCAAGCAATTAAAGAGCTGCCTCAGTTTGCCACCGGAGAAAATCTTCCCAGAGTGGCAGATATACTAACCCAACTTCTGCAGACAGGTAAGAAATTTTATTATTACCCTCTTATCTAAATGTAACTTCCCTTTGAAATTTAGCTTTTTTGTTTTCCTTTTTGGCTGAAGGTACTACTTTTGATAGAAATTAAAATTCTTCTTTTCATTCAGTAGTTTGAAGCTTATTGTGATTATCTAATTCCTGGTGTTGTTTTGTTTTTAATTCTGTTCATAAAGACATAGTGACTGGATTCTTTTGGGAATTTTGATGCATTGTGATTTTTTGCCCCAGTTTCCTGTAGCTTTTTAATTGTACTATCTTAATGTAAAAGCTTTCCTGGTGTGAGATCAGGTTTTTCTACCTTTATAGGGAAGATGTATTTTCTTGGTAGTTGAGAAGAATGCTTAGTTACATGTCTCCTCTCAATGTAATCTGTGAGAAACTACGTTGAATCTTAGGTTTGAAAATGCAGCAAATATTTTTCATTCCTTTTATACATTGTAGTATTTTTTCTCCATCCAGATGATTCTGCGGAATTTAACTTAGTGAACAATGCCCTGTTAAGTATATTTAAGATGGATGCAAAAGGTAAGCCCACCACTTGTTCTGAATTGTGCTTGATGTGTTAAAAAAAAAAAAAAAAAAAAGTTGGGGAGCGTGGCATTCCTTATTAAGGATAAAATCAGATTCATCCAGAGATCTATTTCATAAAAGTTCTGAGTGTTCTTTAAAAAAGCTGCTTAGCACAAGATATTTGTGACGTGAAAAACCTAGCAGAAGTAATTGCAAAAACACATCAGACTTTTCCATTAGAAATCTGTTGGGTGCTTGGTGGCTTAGGCAGTTAAGTTGTCCGACTTCAACTCAGGTCTTGATCTCATGGTTTGGGGGTTCAAGCCTCGTGTCGGGCTCTTCGTTGACAGTGCAGAGCCTGCTTGGGATTCTCTCTCTCTCTTTCTCCCTCTCTTTCTCTCTCAAAAATAAATTAATACATAAAATTTAAAAAGTTGTTGAAAACTCCCTTTGCCACATTAAAGAAATTCTCCAAAATGCCTGGGTTTATTATTAATGATTATAAAGTCATTCTTTTTTTTTTTTTTTTAATGTTTATTTTTGAAAGAGAGAGAGAGTGTACACACAAGTCGGGTAGGGCCAGAGAAAGAGGGAGACACAGAATCTGAAGCAGGCTTCAGGCTCTGAACTGTCAGCACAGAGCCTGACACCGGGCTCGAACCCACGAACCATGAGAATATGACCTGAGCCAAAGTCGGATGCTCAACCAACTGAGCCACTCAGGAGCCCCCAGAAAAGAAAGTCATTCTTAAACGGATTCTGAGTCCATGAACAAAGCATCTGATTACTGTTACGGTTGGGGCTATAGAAATTTCAAACTAATTTAGCCAAAAACAGTCATATTCAGGATGCTTATTAACTCACTGGAAAATAAATACTGTTAAATGAGTTAAACAGAGAAACTTCATTACAATATAGAATTGATTTGCTACACACAACTATTTTGTTTTGCAGGGACTTTAGGTGGCTTGTTTAGCCAAATACTTCAGGGAGAGGACATTGTTAGAGAACGAGCAATCAAATTCCTTTCTACAAAACTTAAGACTTTACCAGATGAGGTTTTAACAAAGGAAGTAGAGGAACTTATACTAACTGAATCCAAAAAGGTAAGCTTCAGTCATCATTTAACAGGACTCCTGTAAAGCAAAAGAACATATTTCAAATTTTAGTATTCATTAATGTCTGTAGCTTTTGTATAAAATGATACATCCCATTAGAACCACTAAAGAATGTCAAGCTTTTCTTATATTGTATTTTGCACTTTGGTCACCAGTAATGATGAATTGGCATATTGATTTAAAGGGATGTGATCACATTTAAATCTTTCATGGGGTATCCTCAAAATTTATGCATTCTTCAGGACTCTGTACAAGTAATTTCTTTCAGGAAATTTTACCTAATTTTTATCCCCTCCCCAATTTTAGGATCTTCTCCTCTAGTGTTCTGGATCATTTCAAAATGAAAGTGAAACACATTGAAGTGCCTGTTTTCTCATCTTACCCCATGACACTGTAAGCTCAGGAGACCATGTTTATTTGTGCTCCCAGCGTCTAGCATAGTTAGAGACGCTAAGATTCACAAGATGTGTCACAGCTAACTTTGCACTCATAAAGTGCCAAAGTTTGGAGATCATTATTTTTATATATATGTTGAGGAAAATTCAAATTTTTCTCTAACAGCACCACTCCCTTGCTTACTGATGAGATTTCTTCAGTGAGAGCGAAAGGAGCAGCTCTCCAGCTGGGAATATCAGTATCTGCTCCAGCTAGTAATCTGGTGGAGTATGTAAGGATTGCTTGTTTCTTCAGTCAGTGAACATAAAGACTTAGACCCACTCATATGGAGCACTCAAGACTTGCATGGTCTCAGATTTTGTATACAGTTGCCATATTAATGTGAGCGAGCTGCTTATATTTATTTTTAAAGATTTTATTTTTTCAAGTAATCTCTACACCCAGAATGGGGCTCAAACTTACAACCCCAAGATCAAGAGTCGCATGCTCTACTGGCTGAGCCAGCCAGGTGCGCCAAGCTGCTTTTAAATTCAGGAAACTGAATCTGAATTGACAGCTGACTATAGAATTTTCAGGTTTTTTTTCCCTCTTACCACCCCACCCCCTGCCCCGGTGAAGAGCCTTTTTAGATATTCTTTTCTTAGCTATTCTCCTATGAAATTTTAATGCCACAGATATACTATATCTATTTATGCACTGTTTGTATATCTGTGCTTTGTACATAAAGAAGAAAAATTTTCCGAGAACCACATTTTGCCCCTCTGGAGACAGTGTTGTGCCCTGTTGAGAATGCATGATGTATTCTAAAGCTAAATTTGACTGAAGCTAGAAGCTGTCCTCTCATCAGTATTTCAGAAATATTAGCAATCCAACTTTAGTAACTGAAATAAATTTGCTACAGTTTCAATATTGATCTTTCTTTCCCATTCAAGTGATAACAATACTGTTATTCTGAATTGTCTCTTTGCAGGTCCTAGAAGATGTTACTGGTGAAGAATTTGTCCTGTTTATGAAGATACTATCTGGGTTAAAAAGCTTACAGACAGTGAGTGGAAGACAGCAACTCGTAGAGTTGGTGGCTGAACAGGCTGACCTGGAACAAACCTTCAATCCCTCCGATCCTGACTGTGTGGACAGGCTCTTACAGTGCACTCGGCAGGCAGTACCCCTCTTCTCTGTGAGCTCTTTGTTTTACATAGTTGATATTTTGATTACTCTATTAGCGTATATTTCTATGGATTCTCACTTGAGGGTTCTCCTCAAACCTTTGCATATAAGTAGTAACAGTGGAGTGAATATTTACTGGGTGGGGTTGATGAGAGCCCCGAACACCCAGAAATTTCTTTAAAGTCTTGCTTAGAGACTTTTTCAAGGTCGAGAGCATTTTGTGTCTTAATTTATGGTTTGGCTGAGTTTCTAAACCATTTGGTTTAGTAATTTAGCTTTTTTTTTTTCTTAAATTTTGTAACAGATTGTTGTTATAGGTAAATACGCTCTTTATCTCTGGCTTTGTGCTTCTCTGCTCATGAGTCTTCTAGGATGTGCATAGAGTAGTTTGAAAAACACAATTTAAAGGACTCTTCCTTTTTTGCAAAATGTACAGTCTGAAATTCAACACTAAAATATCCCCTAAAATTTGACCTGAGCATTAAGGAAGAGTTTGAAAGTCTGCAGATGTCCCAGTGCTCCAGATGACTTGGTTACGAAGTGTGTATTGTCACAAGGTTATTCCTGGAGTGCTCTGGGGTGTGCACTGTGTTGTAACTACACTGCTTGATGCTGTGGTGCTCAGCATTTTTTGAATGACATTCTGTTATTACATTTGAAGGAATATTCCCCCCTTTCTTTGACAACTCCGTGTTCTTTGTATTTTTGCAGAAAAATGTGCATTCCACAAGGTTTGTGACTTATTTCTGTGAGCAGGTTCTCCCTAACCTCAGTTCCTTGACTACCCCAGTGGAGGGCCTCGATATACAGTTGGAGGTAGGAGAAAATGTCTGCTGTTAGTACTGAAAAGACATTCTCATATTCTAACATAAATATAAACCACTAACTTCGAGATCTGATTTCTAAGAGAGTAAAGTTGTGATGGCTAGCTAGTAATCTATACCAGGATTAATCACTTAGGAATGCTTTATGGATTTAATGAAAGTTTGCTGCATTGGGAAAGCACTGCCTATAATGTTCATGATACTCTCTATCTTTGTAGCCTTAATACTTTTAAATAAGGTATTTAATTCATGATTGCTCCTCTCTGTATCTATAATCGATAGAGCCAGATTTAAACAGACTAACACAAAATATCTTTTATCCCTTCTCCAATATAATTGACAGCTCTCTCTTTTGTATCTCAACTGTAATGTACATTCATATTTTTTTCCCCACAACACATATAACATTTACATTTATTTATCTCTCCACATTTAACTGATGCTTCTCTATATCCCCAGAATGTGTTGTGGAGTCTGATTCTGGAAGGCACTTAATAGTTGTTGAATTATGCTGAAATAATGGAAATGTATATGCCATTCTCCTCTTAGGTTTTTAGGCTAGAGAACAGTCCTACTGTGTACTGTCACTATCATTTGCTTCAGATGTCCTGGGTTTGGCTTATTAGACTGAGATGGAGTACAAGACAGGTGGAGCCCAAGAATAGTGGCAACTACCAGTGCTTTGAGTTAGTGTCCAGAGACTAAATTTCATAGCAAACAGGGCCCACTCCAAATATTCGTAAGTAATTCTTTGCTGTTAAGAGTTCTTCCTCGGTGTTTCTTCATAGTACAATATTAAGCCGTAACAGAAAGCAGCCTTAAAAGTTACCTAGAATCATTCTTACTTTACAGCCCTTGCCCATTCAAAAAAAATAATGCTAATAGCAGTGAATTGTGTGTTTTAGGTATTGAAACTATTGGCAGAGATGAGTTCATTTTGTGGTGACATGGAAAAACTAGAAACAAATTTAAGGAAACTGTTTGACAAGTTATTGGTAAGAGCTTTTTTCTTTCTTTATGGCGTAGTCAGTATATAGTGTGGTGTAATTTCTAGAGAATCAGCTTTTGAAATTCAGATTAGATAGAATAATTCTAGCAAGTGTTTTTTAGTTGCTCAGGCCACATGTTATCTACTTTTAAAAGAAAATCTTTGACATCTGTTGTTGATATTTTGCATAAAAGATAATACAGGATTTATATAGTAGGTCTTTCTGTTATTCCTTTATCAAAATTTTTTCACATTTGCTCCCGGTCACCATCCAGGTCGCTGCCCAAGGCCAAGTAGCTTTAGCAGCCAGGAAGTAAGGTCATTTAAGTCATAATTGTGGAGAAAATAGGCCACCTGATAAAATCATTATCAGCATCACCAAGTGATTTTCTTGTTGGATGTGAGCAATTGTGTAACTGACACAGTGAGTGATAAACATCAGACCTGTAGTATAAATGGACTCTTCCCACATCCCATGCTCTCTCTTCCAGACCTGTAACACCTGCTGGGGTGTTATAGCACTCATATTGAATGCCTTTGGCAGTACTTGGAATGTGAGAGTCAAACAGTGTGGGATAATGTTCAGAAAAGATTTTTGGAATTAGCATAGTAAAGTGATTAAAAACATCAATTTTGTGAGGCACCTGGGTGGCTCGGTTGAGTGTCCAACTCAATTTCAGCTCAGGTCATGATCTCACGATTCCTAAGTTCGAGCCCTGCATCAGGCTCTGTGTTGACATTGTGGAGCCTGCTTGGGATTCTTCCTCTCTCTTTGCCCCTCCCCTGCCTGTGCTCTCTCTGTCTCTCAAAATAAATAAATAACTTAAAAAATATATCAATTTTCAGTGGCGAACTTAGATTGAATCCTGACTCTTCAGCTGACTATTTCATCATAGAAAAATTATCTAAGCTCTCAGAATTTCATTTCCTTCATTATTAGCATAAGTGCCTAATAAATGTTAGCTACTTCATTGTCATCAGTAACAGCAGCAGCTATGACAGGTTAACATGGAGAGTTGACAGGCTGGATCATTGATCTAATAGGTAAAAGGGATATCTTACCTAAATTTCTGATGTTGGCAGTTTTTAACACTTCATGCCTTAAAAGGGTGCAGCTATGACAGGTTAACATGGAGAGTTGACAAGCTGGATCATTGATCTAAAAGGTAAAAGGGACATCTTAACCTAAATTTTTGATCTTGGCAGTTTTTAATGCTTCATGCCTTAAAAGCATGCCCTTCATTTACCTCATTATATGTTAATAATTAGAGCATTTCCAGTAGATTGCAAACATCTTTGTATTTCCATCTCTTAGGAATACATGCCTCTCCCTCCGGAAGAAGCAGAAAACGGGGAGAATGCTGGTAATGAAGAACCCAAGCTACAGTTCAGTTATGTGGAGTGTTTGTTGTACAGCTTCCACCAGTTGGGCCGAAAACTTCCAGATTTCTTAACAGCCAAATTGAATGCAGAAAAGCTCAAAGATTTCAAAATTAGGTGATGTATGATTGAAGTGGTCCAATCCCTGGCAAAAATGATAGCTATCTTGACACTCCCTTGGTTTTGGTTTTGTTTTACAAGAGTTCTCTCTCCACCCTGCTTTACCCCAGTAGAACAAAATGGAAGATCCACAAAACAGGAATGTATACAAACCGGTGGCATAACATTTCCACATAGGAGGAAAGAACTTTTTCTAAAACGGACTCTAGGTCTCCTTACTTGCTTTATGATCCCCAGCAGATTCCCAGTCTCTCTAACTGCCCACATTTTCCTCAGCAGTTACATTAAATGATAAAGTACCTGCCTTGTGGAGTTGTGGGAATATTAGACAGTGAATGGAAACCTTGGCACACGCGGGTACCCCATAACCTGGAGCTGCTATTGTTGATGTCTTAGAGTGTTCTGGAGGAGCACCACCGGAGAAATCATAAGTGATTATCATGAAGACACTTTGTATTGAATCATTTTATTAACGGCTTCACATCTTATAATTTGAAATGCTTGTCCACTGTATCATCTGTTACTGTCCTCTACTCTTGGGTAAGGCAGAGGTTTAGTACTTGGTGAAGCATTTGAGAAGCAGCAGCATGTTAAGAAATTACTCCAAAAATTAAATAATGCCAAGTTGTTAAGTGGAGTTCCTAGAAGTCAGCAGGTGGGGCTACGTACTGCCTCTCTCCATGTATTTGGGAACAAACTTGAAAAGGGAGTTACTTAGGACCCTTTGAGATTTACATGAGCTTGTAATAAATTCTCAGATCTGCAGTTTTGTTATACTTTTAACTGGACCTTGAGGTCTAAACAGGTCAAACACTGTCCCTTGTTTGCAGATAAAAACATAGAGATTAAGTGATTTGTCTAAGGTCACTTGACCTTCAGTTGGCCAGTGAAAGAGTAGAACCCAGGCCACCTGATCCTAATCCATGCTCCTGAATGGTTCACTGACCATGCCTTGCAGGTAACATAAAGAGCACAGTGCTACAAATCTTACTCTTGCCAGGTTGAGTGTGGATTTATTACCATTTTTGATAAAGGAGGACTGCTTTTATTTCACTTATTTATGTATTTCTTGGGATCATGTATTGATAACTTAAAAATTAGCTATAGTGTAAGATTCTATGAATTTAAAAACAAAGTTGAAGTTGTGATTTGCTAATTAACCAGTACTTCTTTATTTAGGCTGCAGTACTTTGCCCGGGGTCTGCAGGTTTATATCAGACAACTTCGCTTGGCTCTGCAGGGTAAAACAGGCGAAGCCTTAAAAACAGAAGAGGTAAGAAGAGTGGATCACATCTTATAAGGAAATTTTTTTATTATACCCAGAATGTATTACAAATTCAGGCTCAGGGGCACCTGGGTGGCCTAGTCGGTTGAGCATCTGACTCTATTTTGGCTCCGGTCATGATCCCAGGGTCGTGGGATTGAGCCTCGCGTTAGGCTCTGCTTAAGATCCTGTCTCTCTCCCCTCTGCCCTGCATGCGCGCGCGCGCACACACACACACACGCTCTCTAAAAAAAAAAAATTCAGACTCAATTCATATGTTGAAATGTAACAGGTAATACAAGTCTATGTTGAAGATCCCATGTTAGAAGATTGTCTGCAGATTCACTTATTTACTAAGTTATATTTTCATATGTTTATCCTTGTTGAAATGTTTTGTTGAACGTTTCCAAGTTTGTGAACAGTGCTACCAAACTTAGATACATACCAGTCTTTTGCTAGGGTCTCATTAGCACATTTTGTTCAAATATTTGATTGACATTTGTGATATTTAAAATTTTACCTTTTTGATAACCAAATATCAATTTACATTGAAAAAAAGATTAAATTGCCAGTTCTACCCCAGACTGTATGTGTATGTGGCGGGGATTTTTGGATTTCTCTGATTTCACCTATTTTGATAAATCTTCACCCCAATCCTAATGAAATATTTTAAGTTTTCATTATGTTTTCATCTAACTTAAACTGATGATTTTTAAAACAACTCCTGTGCACATATGACCTGCCCCTCACTCATTTTTTCAGATAAATGGTAGAAAACACTTCAGTGTTCTAACCTATAAAGGGAATATAAAGATTATTTGCTTTCTTTGCCATCTCTGCACTGGTTTAGATTAAAAAAAAACAGGAATGAGAAGAAATGATTCTGAAAGAGAATTGCTCTAGTTCTATATGGGAATGGAATATACATCATGAAAGTTATTGGCACTTTAATTTTGTTTTCCTTTTGCAGAACAAGATTAAAGTTGTTGCATTGAAAATAACCAATAATATCAATGTTTTAATCAAGGTAAGTCTTCCTTTCTTACCCAGTCCTCCACTAGAAAGCTAGTGCAAGAGGTTTTATCCATCTGTCTTTAGGTCTATTATGGTACACTGTTAAAGGGAAATGCCATTGTATTCTAGATATTTGGCCTTTTAAAACTTTACGCTTTTTACAATACCAAGTGACATTTCTATAACTATTATGAAGTCATACATCGTTTTATTTATTTTTTTTTTAAATTTTTTTTTTTTTTTTTAACGTTTATTTATTTTTGAGACAGACAGAGACAGAGCATGAACGGGGGAGGGGCAGAGAGAGAGGGAGACACAGAACTGGAAGCAGGCTCCAGGCTCTGAGCCATCAGCCCAGAGCCCGACGCGGGGCTCGAACTCACGGACCGTGAGATCGTGACCTGAGCTGAAGTCGGAGGCTTCACCGACTGAGCCACCCAGGCGCCCCTACATCGTTTTATTTAAAAGCTACTGCAGAAAATACTGCAGAGGAAGACGTGCAGATTTTCTCTGGCACAAAGCATTGGAGCAAATACATTTAGATTTAGAAACTTCACTGACTTAAGTTCTGGTGGTCTTAATGTTGTGTCCTTTCACATGGCCAGTAAAATTCTGCTTTGCTTATTCTAAGCATGGACAAGTCTGTGTGGCACCTGAGATGTTTCCCTATGGTTCTTTTCTGTTAACTTACTTTGCAATATATTGAGAGCTGTCTGTACTGTAGACTAAGGTGTACCTTACCATTAAGCCATAAATACCCTTCAGTCCTATTTACCCTCCCCAAGCATCCATAAACCTAAACAAAAGACAACCTGAGAAAAAAAAAGAATCACAACAGTGTAACCGTCATTTGTTCCTACAAGTTAACTTTCTTGTTAGCCAGCTGGGAAAAAGAAATATTTGTTAACAGAGCACAAACCTGACAGTAACAAATTAAGACTAGTGGTATACCTTAACACCAATCTGGTAAAGATCTCATGGAATAAATACTTTTTTATTAGAGGAGAGGGAAACTTTTCAGAGAAAGCAACAGGGAGACATTGAAGGATGAGTATCATGGTGTCAGCACTCTCATCTCCTAAGGAAATTTTTATAACAGCCACCACTTATTTCGAACCTTAAATACAAATAATAATTTCAAATAGTGAATTCATATATTAAATGTGAGACTTTTGAGAAATAATTTATATACATCTCTGTAAGTTTAAGGTATACAGTATGGTTGGTAGACCTGTATGGTGAAATGATGACCACGGATAGATTCAGCCAACATCCATTTTCTCGTATGGATTACAGCAAAATCCCTTTCTTATGCTAAATCATATGCTAAATTGGTCCAGCTAGAAGTCTCAGGCGTTTTTAATTCAAAGGACTGTACATTGACTAATTCCTTACATTTACCTGGCATGGTGGATTTAAGGTTTATATAGTAGGATGTGGTCTTTTGTAGTATATTTAACTATGGAAGTAAGTCAGTTTACTTTTATCATATTTTACCTACATATAAAATATGTAGGTAAAAAATAAATTAAAAAATGATTTTGACACGTAAAAATCAGAGTAAAGCTGGTAAGAAATGTTAGGTAAAATACTAAGAATAAATATATTTAGAAATGTATCCAAGTTACATGAGGGTATCATGAGGTTAGATTATTTCAGTTCTGGATTGCTTTAACATTTAAATTCAGGAAACATTTGCATTATTACATATTGATAATTTCGTATTTAAATCTTGGGGGTTTTTCCTTCATTGGTAATTTGGAGACATTTAAGAAGAAAAACATGGGGCGCCTGGGTGGCTCAGTCGGTTGGGTGTCCGACTTCGGCTCAGGTCACGATCTCACGGTCCGTGAGTTCGAGCCCCGCGTTGGGCTCTGGGCTGATGGCTCAGAGCCTGGAGCCTGTTTCAGATTTTGTGTCTCCCTCTCTCTGACCCTCCCCCATTCATGCTCTGTCTCTCTCTGTCTCAAAAATAAATGTTAAAAAAAAAAAAAAAGAAAAACATGATTAGCCAGTCCTTTAGTTTTGTTCTAATTTTGAAATGTATAAAAGTCTGCAAAAGCAAATGCAGGCTGTACCATTTTTTTCCGTGAAAGCACCTTGGTGACTGCCTCTGTGCAAAAGAAGTGCTTATTTATTTACTTTGTTTATTAGAGTTGATACATTTTATTCTAGAACTCAAAATAATCATCATTTAGAAAAGACTTAGCTACAGTTTCTGAAGTGATGTACACAAAATAACATTAATGAAGTGTAATAGATGGAATTTTAAAAAATTGTTTACTTTTTCTGTTGCAGCTTTTTTTAGGTGAGCAAGAAGGATAGATTAAAGTTTCCTCTCCTCAGTTGTGTCTTTAAGATGTCTCCACGTTACTTACCCTCACCACCAAATATGTTACAAATCTTGTCTCATTTTGTCTTTTCAGGATCTCTTCCACATTCCTCCTTCTTATAAAAGCACAGTAACATTATCCTGGAAACCTGTACAGAAGGTGGAAATTGGGTAAGATATATTTAAAAGAGATTTGAGGGGCGCCTGGGTGGCGCAGTCGGTTAAGCGTCCGACTTCAGCCAGGTCACGATCTCGCGGTCCGTGAGTTCGAGCCCCGCATCAGGCTCTGGGCTGATGGCTCAGAGCCTGGAGCCTGTTTCTGATTCTGTGTCTCCCTCTCTCTCTGCTCCTCCCCCGTTCATGCTCTGTCTCTCTCTGTCCCAAAAATAAATAAACGTTGAAAAAAAATTAAAAAAAAAAAAAAAAGAGATTTGAGTGTTCTAATATTTATGATTTATAAATATGAAAATCTCTGACTTTGGATATTATATTTATTGTACAAAATGGTACCTTATTAAACAATCTTAGTAAGATGTTAAAATATGACAATTAGAAGCATGACTTAAAATATAAAGTCTGATTGCAGTATAAACTGGTGGAATACATCGCTGGAATGTTCAGGCTTCTCTGTACTCCTGTGGCATAACGAGACTTCTGACAAGTTTTATAAACTGAGTCCCTTGCCTGTATATTTCTTGAAGCTACATATTCCAGATTATTTTAAAGCCTTGTAAATGCCTTTTGCCATTGTTGCATAATTAAGGCACAGTTAATTTGATGACATCAGAACATTATATCCCTTTTTCTGATGTGACTGTCATCTTTAGGATGTCTTTTGACCAATATGCTAAATTACATGTGTATTAATGGCCTCTGGTAATAGAATTTTTTTTATTGCCCTTCTTACTGTTACAGGCAGAAGAGAGCCAATGAAGATACAACTTCTGGTTCACCACCGAAGAAATCTCCAGCAGGACCAAAAAGGGATGCCAGGCAGATTTATAATCCTCCTAGTGGGAAATATAGCAGCAATTTGAGCAACTTTAATTATGGTGAGCGTTTCCGTTTGGGTACAAGTAATATGAGAAGTTAGGCAGAAATTGTGTTGTACTTGGTTTTACTTATTAATTGTATGTAGTAATATATATAATGGCTCTTTCCAGTGACTTTTCTGAGTTAGCTTGGGGAACTAGAGCTACTGGGGAAACGAGCTACCCCATTCCTTTATAACTCTCTCTTGTAGACTTACTGAATTAACCATACAACACTAAGAACTTGGAAAAGAAAAATATTCCTCTTGTATTCAGAGGAAGGAACCAAAAAAAAGGAAGTTGATATGAACCATCCATTCCTCGTTTTCCTTGTTGTAACTTCAGGGCAAGACATTCTGTGCATTCTCCCTCAAGGGTAGATACAGCTTCTAGCAGATATGATGATATTAATGATCCTTCTTGGACCTTATCTGCCTACTGCTTGTCCTTCCCATCTTCTTAACTACTATGGAAGAAGTCCTAGTAGTGGAGTCAGATGTTAATGTATCACCGGCAAGGAAGATGTGTCCCATTGCGGTCTCTCCCCACTGCCCAGGGTGCAGTCTCCCTGTTAGCTTTAGCCACTGGTGCCAGGAGAGCTTCCCTCTAGTCCATTCTCTCCCAGTGCTGTGGAAGAAGAGCAGTCTGTTCCATATTGACTTGTATCCTCATAGATCCTTTCAAAGAAGAATGGATGAAAACATCACTGAGTCACCTCCTTGTTTAAGAAGACGAATCTTAATAATACTGGCAACCAAATGTAATTAGGATTGGTCTTATTTACCAGTCAGAATTAATTCTTCAGTAATTATCTTTAAAAAAGTACATTGTGAAACATGTAACTCTATAATTGTTTCCAAGGTGAGATAATTCTGACATTAAAGTCTTCCCACAGTAGCTAAATTCCTTTAATACCTGAGCAAACAGCTTACAGAAAGGTGATTTTTTTTAGACTGTGAAATGAACCCTTCTATTTGTCAGACTCTGGCAAATTTAGCGTAGGAAAGATCACTGAACTCTTACTACGTAAATGTGCATCTCTTAGCCTCTTCTCTTACTTGAAAACTAGGGATAACAGAGCTCTTAAAAACTTCAAATAAGAGGGGGAAAATACCCTCAAGAATATTTGTGCAGACATTTTGTAAATGGAAAGGATTCTGTTACTTCATCGCAACAAAGATCGTCTTCTATTGTTTGTATGATTTGTGGTGTCTTTCAGAATTATTCTTAAAATCCACTGTTACCTCAGATACTATCTTCATTTGACTTAAATGAAAGTAATCAAGAGCTATGGCAATACATAGAGAATTGTATTCCTTTTCACTTGGGCAAATGAGTTACTCTTGAGTTGCTTTGAGGATTCTGCCCTGTGAAACTCACTGCCTGTTTGATGGGGAGAATCAGATGACATAATGCATGTGGAAAAGAGATGTGAAAAATGCAGAGCCTTAGATTATGATTTTTTTTTCACTATCAGTGTGAAAAAAGTCTCTGAGTCACTTACAACCTCAGTTGTACCATAGTCCTCAGAGTAATATGGGCAAAACAAGCATTCCTGTTAATTGTGTTTTGTGTCTGGTATTACAGCCCCTGAATGTTCCTAAAGGGGTCAACCTTGTCGTTGGGGTGCTGGTCATAAACAGAACTACAAAGAAACTAAACTCTCATCTTTTTTTAGAAAGTAGTAGCCAAATTTCTGCTAGCATTTTAGATTTCAAGAGTTGAATGTTAACAGGTTATAGGTATTCTCATAGTAGCAATTTCAAGAGTTTTCTTGGCTTTCTTTCACCCATTCCATTGAAAACAGTTCTTGATACTACAGATGAGATTTGGTGGGCCTATCTACCTCAAGTTTTTTCCCCACCTTTTTTATGTCCTTCCCTTAGGGAACTGAAAAAAGAAGCATGTTGTATTTTTTTTTTTTTTCTGGGATGTCACTGTTGCCTCAGAATTGGAGGGGAGAACATGTTTTATTTTCTTAATGCCTTCTAATACATAGTTTGTTAACCACCATAATTCCACTTTCCTGTGTCAGCCACACTCTTGTTTTATTTTTCGAAAGGCTGGTTAGATGGCTTTTTTTTTTTTAAGTCATGTATGCTGAGGGGTTAGGAAATTGACTCCTTTTGGTTATTAGAGAACCAAGTAGTATTAATACTTATTACCTTATTACATTGAAAGAAATAGGCTGTGATAGGCCTGAACTTGTTCATCATAGAAGAGGAACCAGAATTGCAATTGTTCTTTAAGTCTAGGCAGGAATATGTAGCCATTTTTTTTCCTTATCCAAGTTTATCACTTTACTAACCAAGGTCTCTTATTTGCTTTATAAACATTAACTCAATTCAACTTCTTGGTGCATTTTTTAATGCCCACGTTTGGTTTTCCCTCCTGCACATATTTGCTCCGTAACCTAGAAGTACTAAGCATGATATATTTTGTGACTTGTGTCCTGCATATTTTACATTTTTAGAATGTAAAAATAACTTTTAAATCATAATTGTAGCTGGGAGCAGTGGTTTTTTTAAGTTAGTAATGTAAGCTTGAAACCACTTAAGAAATCATGCAAATGCAGAATGGTGCCTCAGGATAAAGCTCTTCAAAAAAAAAAAAAACCTTTGTTTTTTTTTTTTTTTTTTTTTTTTTTTTTTTTTTTTTTTTTTGGAGACTCTGAACTGTGTAGAAATGGCTACATCCATTGCAGGTCAAAAAGAAATAGTATAGACAAGATAACCATGTCAAACAATATCTTCATACAATGTATGTAATATCCTCATTAGATACGGCTGAATAACAGAGGGCAAGTAACCTAGTTCTGCACATTAAAATTGATTGAAAAAAGTTGAAAGGGTGAGTTTTAGTAGTCAGTTTACACGGAATAATGATACGTGTGAAGATAATTTCTTAAGTGTGTTGTTAAATTAACTGAGAAATGAAGGTTTTATAATGAGCACGATAGGGGGAAAATGTGCCTACATCTGCGTAGATGAGGCCAAGTCTTAGAAATGCTGGAGTTACAGACAGCATACATAAGGGTTGCTACACAACCTGATGCATTCGTTGCATTTCTGGGAGAGTCTTACTTACCCCCAGACCACCTCTGATTTTCTCAGTATGTTCAGGGAATAACCAACATGGTGGTTTCATTTAAATGGCTTTCAAACGGATCAGCTCAGAAAAATGTGTTGGGGCAGGAAAGATGACTTTGAAACAGATTCCATGCTATTACACATGTAAATGTTGGCTAAGCTGGGGAATGATCCAGTTAGTTTTCTAACTCAGAGAGTTGCTGGAGGAAAAAAAAGACATCAAAACATTACCCAAATAAGGTATCTATATTTCTAGCCTTAATAGCAAAAAAAAAAAAAAAATGGATTGCAATATAGATTTAATAGGAATTTTTCAAGCATCCATCCAACATTATGGATCCAAAATGGCAACACCTGGTGGTTTTCATTGCTCCTAACAAGACTGCTGCAGTGAGGAAGTTTGAAGGTTCAGTGAAGAGATTTGATTTCTGGAATTAGAAGTTTGAGACTCATGACTCATTTATGTATAATCTAAAGTCCAACCTTGCTGATAACTTCAATCAGTTTTCTTCACTAGAGGATTCCTTTAAGGACTATTTCTCTGGAACTATAAAAGAGACTAACCAATGAATCAAAGCTCATTCTACTGTATGACACAAGTGACTTGATTTTTTAGCAAGATAAGCTTAATTTACATTAATAATCTGAATACTGTATACAAATCACCTTTTGGGCAGCTCATGTTAGCTGATAAAGTAGTGAGAAAAGCTGTTGGCATTTATATCAGCATTTTTGTGAGTCCAGGTGCTTGAAATACCGCAACCAAAACAAATTGCCTGTCCACTGCATTTCAAAGGTACATTTTTCAGTCTAGGTTAATTTGTCAAAATTGATCATTGATAATTTAAGCTATTTTGTTTGCACTCATGGCACTAGCTTTTGAAGGCCAGTGGCATTTTTGTTAATTCCATATTAAGTATAGAATTTCTAATAGTTTAATTATCTTCAGTAGTGATAGGCACACCAATAACTAAGAAATGTAGTTACAACGTTATCACTTTGAAATATCTAGTTTTTGGGTACATTTAACTGAGTACCTACTTTGGATAGATTTGGCACCTTGCCATCGTGCATTAGTATGTATGTTGCTCTGGTTTATGTACACATTGAATTTGTAGACGAGCAGAATACCAGCGCTGCTTTTATAGAGTCTGCTGCTACACGCAGAGCTACAAGCTACATTTCTTCTGCATTTGCTGTACCATGAAGTCCTGAGCAAGACCTAAACCCTTGTTCGCTTTTTCGTAGAGCAGAGAGGAGCCTTCAGGGGAAGTAGAGGTGGCCGAGGTTGGGGAGCACGAGGAAATCGTAGTCGGGGAAGACTCTACTGAATAAGACATCACATTCTTCAGCATTGTCATGAGCTTAATATACTTAAATTCTACTACTCATTGGATTGCCGGGGATGTCCCTTTAAAAGGACTGCTGCCTTCAGCTAAAAACTTAATGTTCTTTATACCTTTGTATGTATGATCTACTTTTGTAACAGACCATGGTTGTGTCCAAGGTAAAAACCACAGTGATATTTTTGGATGCTTTGTTCACAATCTTGACTTGTTTTTGCAATATCATTATTACTCAAAATTCATATTGTGAATCTTTTACTTTTAACATCTTGGTAATTTGTTATTGAAAGCTATTCGAGTCTAAAATGTAATGAAATTCAGTCCATTTCTGGTAACTGGTAAAGATGATCAGTTGAAAGTTTACGGATTTCCTCTACCCTCTGTCTTTTTTTTTTCTTTTGCCCAATATATGGAGAAGAATAATGGTCAATCTTAACATTTTATTTTCATTGTTTTTTAAATAAAGCTGCTAGGCATTTCCTACCTAGTGTTATAAAAGCAAAATACTTAACAGCTTTCTTAAAATGTAAAAATGACATTACATTTTTAGGAGGAAGTAAGTTACTTTGCACTGCTTACTTAACTCTTCTCCATATGTTGCGATACTAACTTTTGACTATGGGATCTTACTATTTGAATAGAAATGTGTATGTATAATATACATACATACATAAGCATATATGTGTGTGTGTGTATATATATATATACACACATGCTGTGAAACTTGACTACGCAACATAAATCATTTTTTAAAATTGCTGGAACGGGTAGTCTTTGACACGGTGATGATCCTTTTAAGAATGAATCCATTATTAACTTGTTACCTAGGTTTTCCTCCCAGTAGTGAGGGATTTTGAGTCAGTTGCACTTACATGATTATTGTTATTTAAAACTAAAAATAAACAAAGGCTGCATTTTCAAAGATAAATTTGGAGATCCCTGCTGGAGAAATACAGCCAAAATATTGAATCAGATGTACATATAGGTTTCTACAGGATGAGACAGAATAATTTAGAATTGGGGGATTTAATAACCAGGGCAACCCAGGAAAAGTGACTTGAAAACATGGTGTACCAATAAGTAAGGGATGCTCTCTCGGTTTGCTTTTGCCACTTTCAAGATTTTAACTTCTCAGGTTATTAATCAAAATTATTGTATAAGTTAGCTAATAGAATCTTTAGGTTAAAACAACAGACGGGGGGTTTGTGGAGTGTTTAATGTCATGGGCATTTTTAGTAGCATAGGCCCTTTGCTCTGCATTTGAATGTTTCATATATTTTTGTTCCACAGTTAATCTTCCCTCCCCCAAGTTTGCTATCCAGATTCAATGCCTGAATGACATTTTCTAGTAGTTTGACATATTTTTTGAGGAATAGTTTGTGATTCCAATGCAGGTGTCTTCATTATTGTTACCTCTACATTGGGGAAAAGGCAAAACCCCTTTGTTAGAATTACTGCACATGTTTATGGGAAAAATATTTTTTTTAAAGACTAGAATGATACAAGTGAGCAAAAGAAGTTGGTCAGCTTGACTATGGAGTGGTGGCAATAATCTCTAAAACATTCCAAAAGACTCTGAGCTGAACCTAAGCTCCCTTGGAATCTGAACAGACATAGGAACAAGGAATTGCATTTGAAAACTGTGACCAGATAGTCTGGACCTCAGAGGCATCAGCCAGTGGCCTAAAGCCATTTCAAGTACAGAAACTATTGGGACTACAGCTATATAAATTTGAACATTAAGTGTAACTTTTCCTCTTTTTCTTTTTTAAAGCATATTTGTAAACTCAAAGCTGAGCAGAAATAACTTTACTTTCTCAAGTTTGACACCGAGTTGATTATGTTCCTTCCTTTGCCACCTCATTGTTCCCTTATCTTTCCTAAGGCAATAGTGCACAACTTAGGTTATTTTTGCTTCAGAAATTGAATGAAAAACTTCATGCCATGAATTTTTTTCTTTTGCAAGACACCTGTTATCACCCTGTTCAAATGTAAATGTTCCCTTATGCTTTTGAAATAAATTTCCTTTTGTAATTTTGTTTTGTGTCTTGATGTGTTATGATTATGTAACTTAAGATTCCTGGATATCCATTATTGATTGCTTTTATTTTGCCAAGCAATCAATACTGCCAAGCAGTGTGTTAGACTGAAAATACAAAGATGGACAAGTTGGCTCTGCCTTCAAGGAGTTCAGTCTTGCAGGTTATCTTTAATTTTCATCCTTTGAGGTTTATGTTTAAGAACTCACATACTTCTGAAAAAAAAGGATTTGGTCATTTTTATTGAAGTAAAACAGCAGATACATACTTGCCAAAACATTGTGAAATAACTAATTATCATCTTCAAGTTAATATGTAAAGTAAGTCGGAATGGCTTCATTTGACGGCCAGCCTTTAGTAAAAGTCTTCCTGAAGTAGAATGGTTAGGAGTGTTTTATTTTTTTTTTTTTTATTTTTTTTTTAACATTTATTCATTTTTGAAAGGCAGAGAGAGAGCGCAAATGGGGGAGGGGCAGAGAGAGAGGGAGACACAGAAACAGAAGCAGGCTCCATGCTCCAAGCAATCAGCACAGAGCCTGACACGGGGCTTTAACTCACAAACCATGAGATCATGACCTGAGCCGAAGTCGGCCACTTAACCGACTGAGCCACCCAGACGCCCCTGTTAGGAGTGTTTTAAAGCCAAAATTTAAATGGATCAGAACGAGATATCTAAATTCCCTTTGATCACAGCCAGTCCTGTAGCTTTAGTACCACCTACATGCTGAGGACTGCCAAATTTCTTTGTCCATCATTTCTTGCCTGGAGTTTCATAGTAGCCTTCTAACTGATCTCCCTGCTCTTACACTGGATTCTTGACAGCCTGTTCTAAACATGACAGCAGAGATCCACTCCTACTTGAAGCTGTTCAGTGGCTCATTTCAGAATACAAATTTTAAAAATGCCATGGCTTTTCATCCCTGACCTCAGCTGCTGTCCTTCCTCTCCATCACTCTGCCCCAGTCACCTGGCTTCCTGCAGCCTAGGCAGACACACCTGCCTTAGGATTTTTGCACTAGCTACTCTTTCCCTTCTATCTGCTTGTCTAATTCCATCTCCTTCAAATCCTCAAAAGATCACCTTCTCAAGGAACATGATATATTGCAATGCCCCTTCTCTATCCTGCCAAGACTCCAAATCCCACTTAACCCTGCTGCATGTTCTTTAGAGCATTTGCCAACTTCTAACATACTATATAGTTTACTTGCATGTTGTTTACTCTGTCTTCTCCTGATAGAATGGAATGTGGCTAAAATGCCACAAAGGGAAAGATTTTTGCATTTTGCTCACTGATAATCACAACTACCTAAAACAGTGCTTGGCACATGGTAAGCTTTTGATAAAAAGTCAAAGGCAGTGTTTCAGGCTCTGGAACATAGTAATGAACAAGAGAGGCAAACTGTTGGGAGTTCACATTCTAGTACACAGAGCCTGATAAATAGGCTGATTTCAGAGAGTAGTAGTATGAAAATGCTGAAGCATTCTAATGTGACAATGTGTAAGAGCTAACATGGAAAGAATGGTTAGGAAAAGTCTGTAAAGAATTAATTTGAGCCAAGACCTGGGTGATGATTTGGAGCCAGGCTAGTGAAGATCTCAAGGAAAAGCATTTGAGATGGAGGCAACAAAAACCACAGAACACTTGGCTTTAAGAACACCAGGCTGTGCTAAAAACAAAAAAGTGGGTTGGGGTGCTATCCCAAAGCTTTTAGTTCCTAGTTTCAATCCCTGGGCTCCTAAATTCCTCATCTATGATAATGAACTACTTTCAGTGACTCAGAGGGCACCGTGCTCTTTCTGATACTGAGGCATGTTTCCCCGGTCAAGAAAATCATTGTTACCCACCCCCCACTCCACCCCTATTCATCCAGTTAATGGATTCATCCTTCAGACCCCACTAGATTCCATTCTGCTTTGGAAGCCTTTCCTCCCAAGGTGTGTACAGGACCATGCACCTGTGTGCTCCCTAAGCACACTATCTTCTCCCGTGTTAGAAACTATAGGAGGAACTCAAAGCAGTTCTGGTCAGGTGGGAAAAAATGAGATTCAATTCTAGCAAGTGTGATGGAAACTAAAACTTAGACCAATGAAATCTAATTTATCAAAAAACCTAAGAAATTGTAGATTGATTCCTAGAAGTTGTACATTTATTAGGTAAAACTAATGCAATCAGAAGTAAGAAAATCCAGTAAAATTCTGGTCATAGAGAGTTGATAATAGAAACAAGATTTCAGGGGCGCCTGTGTGGCCCAGTCGGCTGAGCCATCCAACTTTGGCCAAGGTCACGATCTCACAGTTCATGGGTTTGAGCCCCGTGTCGGGCTCTGTGCCAACAGCTCAGAGCCTGGAGCCTGCTTCAGATTCTGTGTCTCCCTCACTCTGCCCCTCCCCTGTTTGTGCTCTGTCTCTCTCTCTAAAAATAAATAAACATTAAAAAAAAAATCTGAGATAAGGCCTAGATACACAGAATACTGGATGTAGCTCCAGTTAGTATTCCTCAAGAAATTTATCAGAAAAGGAACAGAGAACAAATAAAAAATGAAGAAATGGTATTCCAATGAGGAAAAACTAAAATTTAACTTTCTATAAAGTGATAAGATCAAAAAGCCCAAACTCACAAAAGGTTTTAATAGCATGAACTTGAGTTTCATCATAAAATGAGGATATTAATTGTATGGAACCAGAAAAACCCCAAATAGCCAAAAGCAATCCTGAAAAAGAAAACCAAAGCTGCAAGCATCACAATTCTGGACCTCAAGCTGTATTACAAAGCTGTAATCAAGACAGTATGGTACTGGCACAAAAACAGACACTCAGATCAATGGAACAGAATAGAAAACCGAGAAATGGCCCCATAAACGTATGGCCAACTAATCTTTGACAAAGCAGGAAAGAATATCCAGTGGAATAAAGACAGTCTCTTCAGCAAATGGTGGGAAAACTAGA